CTTGCCTCCATCCCGACGAGAACACAACCATTCTGACCATAGTGAGACCGTTTTTCCAAAGCGATTCATTATGTTCCCCTCACCAAACTGCCTTCTGCGTTGGAGACCGCCGAGCTGTTAGTCTTGCATGTGTTCCGGGATTCACGGGATCCCTATGAGACATTGTATCCGACAGAGGACCGCAGTTCGCGTCTAAAGGTATGGGGTGCGTTTTGCAGAGCTGTGAGGGCAAGGGCCAGTTTATCTTCAGAGTATCATCCACAGTCCAACGGACAGACTGAGCGGGCAAATCAAGACCTGAGGTCGGCGTTGCGGTGCATCGCGGCGCGGCATCCGGCGTCATGGAGCAAGTTCCTGCCGTGGGTGGAGTATGCCCACAATTCCCTGTCACGTTCTGCTACGGGGATGTCGCCGTTTATGGTCTGTTTCGGTTTTCAGCCCCCGTTGTTTCAGATCCAGGAGGCAGCAGTGGCAGTCCCGTCCGTCGATGACCATCTCCGGCGGATTCAGGAGGTGTGGGACTCGGCGCGGGCAGCTATCACCCGGTCGGGGGAGATCAACAAGAAGATGGCTGACCGACATCGCGTCCCCGCACCGGCGTACAGGGTAGGACAGCAGGTGTGGTTGTCCGCGAAGGACCTCCCCCTGGCAACGGAGGGCCGCAAGATGAACCCAAGGTACGTCGGACCATACCCTATCGAACAGATCGTCAACCCTTCGGCGGTTCGTCTGACCCTGCCGGCGGCCCTGAAGGTACATCCGACGTTTCACGTCTCGCTGTTGAAACCGGTGGGGGAGAGCGAATTCAGCCCTCCGGCCAATGCTCCCCCGGCTCCCCTGGTCATCGAGGGGCATCCAGCACACAGGGTTTCCCGGATACTGGACGTCCGGCGTCGGGGGCGGGGGTTTCAATATCTGGTGGACTGGGAGGGGTATGGACCGGAGGAACGATCTTGGCTGCCCCGCCGGCAGATTTTTGGCTCCACATTATTCCGGGAGTTCTATCGGGACAATCCGGGTAAGCCCGGGCGGCCGCCAGGAGGCGCCCGTTGAGGGGGGGGTACTGTGGGGATACGGGACAGGGTCACAAGGGGGAGCCACAGTAATTCTGGAGGTAGCGGGTGGGACTCTTGTTCTCTCTTCTGTGGCCTAATCAGATTGATGCAGGGCAGCTGGGAGGAGTGCACTCATCGCTGGCAGCTGCTGCAAGTCTTCAGGGAGCAGTTAAAGAGGGACATCTTTCAGAGGTTCGGCGCCGAGGGATTGCCGAGTACAGCTTTCCAGACACGCGTTTTCCTGGGCCCGGAGACTTCAGTGGCTTCCATTCCTACGTCACGAGGGAGACACGGGACGCCGCCGACGACGGCGGTGCATTGCCGGAAGGCCTGAGTATTTGAGTTGTCGTTTGGGAAGAGAGACAATAAATACGCATTTTGTGTTTATACTTTACCTGGTTCCGGTGTTTGCTTTTGGATCCCTCTCACGAGCAGTGACAAAAACAGGAGAAACCTCTGTGTTTTTTGTCATTATAGCTGGGTATTGCAGAGGTTTACATATAGAAATATACCTGTCATAAAACATGACTAACACATGAGTTGTAGCACAGAAAGAATTGAAATAGAAAAGCTGAATATGATGTCATCTGTGTTTCAGATAACCAGTTACCAAACTACTTTGGGTTTAGTAGCAAGGTCGTAATTAAAATGTACATAGGCTCGTGGAGGTTTTTGTGCATCCCAAAAGGTACACAATGGTGAAATTAAAGATTATTAAACTATATGCTGTAAGCAAGATAAAAAAGATGATCTCTATATTTGTGCACTTCCAATGGTCAATCAAGAATTATAAATGTTACATAATGTTCAACATCCATTATTGTTGTTGAAAATAAAATGTTAATAAATAGAACAGCCCTCCGAGGCAAATTTGTCATTTTGAGCTATACAAAATGAAATGAATTGAAATTAAACATGTGGATCAAGTAACTAGCAAATAATACTAACATTCAGCGTACACTGGAATTCCTTTTTAATTCACAGATACCTCACCCTGAAATGCACTGATAGACAGCCTACTACTCAAATTGAAGTAATAATAAGAAAAGAATAACTTTACTTGAATCAGAAACATGCTCTTGCTTTAATGGTTGTTTATATTAACATATTGACATGCATTTATTTCATCCCAACCCCCACCCTCCTACATAATATAACAACCTCTATCCAATCAAAACTGCACCACTTACTATATTTTCATACTTTTTTTTTCTGTCATCTGTGTGTTTATCTGTATTGTGCTGGGTTGCCCTCTAAGGATTGATAAACGCTTATCTCATCGGGCTACTATGAACTTGAGCAATACACTTGAAGACAATGGTCATGGAAGTAAAATCAAACTGAAAGAGGGATTCTTACATTGTGGTTTTATGTTCAAAATGACAGCTTAAGACACTACACCATTTTGCAGAAGAGCCTCTTAAGGTGATCATAAATTCTCCTCATTTTTAGTCCATAAATGATTGGATTAAAAATAGGGTGATATATTACAACTTGTAAAGCCATTATCAAACCTACAGTGTTTGAAAAATCAGGTTCCAGTCGAGCAAGAAGTACATCATATGCACTTAAACAGAAAAAGTTGATTAGAACCAGCAGATGAGGTAAACAGGTCTGTGCAGCTCTTCTCCTGACTCCTCTACATCGATACGATACTACAAGTATCCTGCTGTATGTGAAGAGTATGAAGAGTACAGGGATAATTAAAAAAGTAACAAAATTCAACAAGCCATATATATTCAGTGTTCTTGATCTCACACAGTGAAGTGTTAAAACTGTGCTGTTGCAAAGTATTCCTTTCAAATGAAAAGTACAGATTTCTCTTTTAGCACTTATTAATACCGTTACTGAGAACAAACATAAAGGCAGAATCCAACCTAAAATCAGAAAAATGTTAACAGTTGTTTTTTGCATGATGGTTGTATATTTCAGAGGGTTACATATAGACACATATCTATCATAGGCCATGATGGACAAGAGAAAGAAATCTGAACCGACAAACGAGTAATATAAAAACCACTGGAAGAGACATGCTGGATAAGATATGATCTGTTTTTCTGATAAAAAGTCAATCAAAAGCTTTGGGTAGATAGCAGTGCTGAAAAGAACAGAGTTGATTAACAAAGCTGCAATGAAAATGTACATTGGCTCATGCAGGTTTTTGTGAATCATTATGATGACCACAATAGCGAAATTACTGCTAATTATTAAAATATACACCATAAACATGATCACAAAATACAGATATCTATATTTGTGCACCTCTACATGCCCACCAAAAGTTATATAAGTCACATTTGATCTATAATCCATTGATAATGTATGCAGTGAGATCACACCAAATAATATTAATCGGACATAAACAGCACTAGATTGTCTCTCTCAGTCTTCAGTACCTGACCTTGATATTCTCTGGTGTGATCCAGCAAACACACGGACTGGAAAGTGATCTGTGAGAGTCGGTGGGAGGTTTTTTATCAGACTACTTCATCCTCCATGGATCTCATTGAACTCTCTAAAGGATGAAGCTGTACAAAACCTTCTTGTCATCAATAGCTGTGCAGGAAACTTGTACCTGATGCCTAAAGTTACATCAATGATATAAAATCACAAATTAGATTAGTTTTACTCAACAGAACAACCCCTCATGGTTTTTAAAAATGTGTTTTATTTTATATTAGAGTGGATAATAAATGTATCTTTTTCAGAGTTTGTAAAATCTTATGATATCTAATATCAGCTCTTGTCAAGATCGTTTGGACCGCAGTCTGACAAGCGGGCCAAAACCGAGCTAAAAACCAGAAAACACTTTTCTTTATCATTACAGCTGGGTAATGCAGAGGTTTACATATAGAAATATACGTGTCATTAGGCATGGCTAGGAACAGAACTCTGTACCACTTAGGGTGTAACACAGAAACAATAGAAAGAGACAGGCTCAATATAAAATGGTCTGTGTTTCAGATAAGTAGTCAAATAACAACTTTGGGTAAAAAGCACTGCTGAAAAAACAGTTCAGTAGAAAGGCCGATATAAAAATATACTATATATATATATATATATAATATTTGTCCAATCACAACTCACTGCTATACTTTGATACTTCCTTTTATTTCCTATCATCTGTATTTTGCTGGTTCACCCACCCATGGATTTATAAAAGCTTATCTCATCGGCTATCATGTGTATTTTATGGCTACTATAACTTGAGAAATACACTTGAAGACAATGGTCATGTAAGTCAAATCAAACTGATAAATAGATGCTTACAATTTGGTTCAGCATTACATTGTGTAGGTGTACGATTCGGTGTGCAATAATGTTTTGGAAACAAGTCTTTAGTATTGAAGTATCAGTATTATTTCATAAAACGATGACAGTCATCCGTGTGAAGACACTACAGAAGAAGTCAGAGTGTGAAATCTGCAGAAGAGGCTCTTTAGGTGATGATAAATTCTCCTCATTTTTAGTCCATAAATGATTGGATTAAAAAGAGGGTGATATATTAAAAAGAGGGTGATATATTAAAACTTGTAAAGACATTATTAAACGTATAATTTTTGGCGAATCAAGTTCCAGTCGAGGAAGAATTACATCATATGCAATTAAACAGGAAAAGTTGATTAGAACCAGCAGATGGGGTAAACAGGTCTGTGCAGCTCTTCTCCTGACTCCTCTAAATTGATACGATACTAAAAGTATCCTGCTCTATGTGAAGAGTATAAAGAGTACAGGAAAAAGTACAGAAGTAACAAGAACAACCAAGCCATATAAATTCAGTATTGTTGATCTGACACAGTGAAGTGTTCGAACTGTGCTGATGCAAAGTATTCCTTTCAAATGAAACTTACAGATTTCTTTTTTAACACTTAGTAATATTACTACTGAAACCTGACAAGCAGGCAGAGCCCAAGCTAAAAAGAGGAAAATCTTAACAATTGTATTTTGCATGATGGTTGTATATTTCAGAGGGTTACATATAGACACATATCTGTCATAGGCCATGATGGACAAGAGAATGAAGTCAGAACCTCCTAACCAGTAATATGAAAACCACTGGAGGAGACATGCT